TGGCCCTGCGGGCACGTGAGGATCGCCTCGAGCGTCGACGCCTCGAGCGCGGACGGCGACGCGAAGGCCTTGGACTGTTTTGTCGGGGTGAGGAGCATCGTGGCCTCGCGGACGGGTTGGTTGAACGTCGTGCGCGGCGTTCGACGAGTGCCGGTCGGAGCGGGGCCGACTGTTCCTGAGCTTCCCTCCCGGAGCGCCGCGGGGCGTCGCCGCGCTCGCCCGGAGATCGACGCGGCGGACGACGCGACGATGCGACACTTCTCGGCGGTTCGTAGCTAACCGTCGGGGCGTGCGCAGGCGGCGGGTCGCGGGTGCAATGCGCGAACGCTTCGGCCCGATGACCAGCCCAACAGTTTGTGCGCTCGCTCACTCCTCGACAGCCACAAGATCTTGATCCGCCATCGCCATCGTCCGCGCGCCGCGACGCCTCGATCAACCCAGAGACACCCAGGCCACCCCCTCTCTGCAACCATCATGTACATCTTCGACGACACCGAAGACGCCTTCCCTGTCTCGTTTTTCCCCTCGACTCGTGCCCCGACAACGCCGTCGACCTGGGCGGGCCTGAGCGACAAATTCATGGCGCCCATCACCCGCGCCCTCGAGCGCACGAAAGCCGATTCCGCGCCGGCGGACGGCGACGAGGCGGTCGCCCGCGAAGGCGGCGGCGGCGGCGTGCGCACCCTCTTCAAATTCTGCGGCGGCGTCGTCGACATCGGCGCGCCGCTGAAAGCGCTCGCGAAGTCGACGTTCGAACGCGTCGCGGCCGCCAAGGACGCGCTCCAGCCCAAAATCGTCGTCTCCGAGGCCGAGTCGTCCGAGTCCGAGTGAGCACCAAAAGCGCTCGCGAAGTCGACGTTCGAACGCGTCGCGGCCGCCAAGGACGCGCTCCAGCCCAAAATCGTCGTCTCCGAGGCCGAGTCGTCCGAGTCCGAGTGAGCACCAAAAGCGCTCGCGAAGTCGACGTTCGAACGCGTCGCGGCCGCCAAGGACGCGCTCCAGCCCAAAATCGTCGTCTCCGAGGCCGAGTCGTCCGAGTCCGAGTGAGCGCCGTCCCCCGGCGATCGGCGACGCCGCGCGCCGCGGCCCTCGCGGCCGGAGCCTCGCGCGTAAGGGTCGACCGAAGTTAGCGGGCGCGGCGCGGCGGCCGGGGGCCCTAGGGCCCGTCGGTGCCGCCGAGGACCGGGTTCTCGCGGAACTGGGACGTGGGGTCGTCGTAGTTGTAGAGGAGCTCGTCGTCGTCGTACTCGTCGGCCTCCTCGAAGGCCTCGTCGTCGGAGTCGTCGCACTCGTCGACGACGAGGCCGAGGTTCTTGCGCTTCGCGAGCTCGGACTGGGGCAGGCCGATGAGGGACATGGAGTTGCGCTTGTGGACGTAGTGGTTCCGGTAGTGGGGCGACCGGTTGATGACCTGGATCTTCTCGATGTCCACGAGGATGCAGCCGCACATGGCCATGCGGCCCTGGTGGTGGTCCTTGGACGTGGAGAAGATCGTGAAGACCGTGGCGCCTTTCGACAGATTCACGCCGTAGGCGTGGGCCTCGTGCGCGCGCATGATGAAGGAGCAGCCCGTCTCCTTGAGGAAGTCCTCGATCGCGCGCATGCCGAAGCAGACCGTGCCGCCGCCGCGGAGGCTCTCGCCGTAGCCGCTGTCCCCCAGGTCGTCCTCCTGGTCCTCCTGGGCCGGGTCGGACCAGAGGCACTCGGACGCCATCTGCTGGAGCGCGGGGTCCGCGTCGACGTCCGGCGGGTTGATCGTGATGACGCGCGGCACCATGTCGAGGAGCTCGAGCCGCGTCTTCGCGTCCGCGTCCGCGCAGAAGGGCCGCGGGCCCGGCGGCGGCCGCCGGGGGATGCCGCCGTGGATGCAGAAGATGTCGTCGTCGACGAGCGCCGCGAGCGGGAGGCGGTCGAAGGCCGCGTTGACGCCCTCCCAGACGAGCGGGCCGAGCCTGGGCAGGACAAGAGTGCGAAATTCCCAACTTCGAAGGCTCCTAGCTCGGCCGGTTTCCACTCGTTTCGGCTGATTTTTGGACGAGCGATCATCTCTCGGAACGGTCTCGAAGCGTGGATGCTTTTTCCAGAACGCGCGCGCGCGGAACACTCACGTTGAAGCGACGTTGAATCACTCTTGTCCTGCCCTGGGCCGAGCTGCGGTCCGAAGCGGTGCTCGCACTGCCAGAGGAAGCTCCGGTCGCCGTAGTGCTCCTTCCAGCCGTTGACGTCGCGCGTCTCGTGGTTGCCCCGCAGGAGCCAGACCTTGGCCGGCTCGAGGCACTTGAGCGCGAAGAGGTACGCGACGACCTCGAGGCTGCTGAGGCCCCGGTCGACGTAGTCGCCGAGGAAGACGAGCGACCCCGCGGTGAGCGACACGCCGAGCTTCCAGATGTGGTCGCTGAAGAAGTGGAGGTCCTCGAGGTTGCCGTGCGTGTCGCCGAAGACGTAGGCCGGCGACTCGAGGCGCAACACCCGCGGCTCCGTCTCGAAGCGCCGCCCCGCGCGCGCGCTCAGCTCGAGCAGGTCGTCCGCGAAGCGCGACGACCCGAGGTACTCCGTGTGCTCGCTCCGCAGGGGCTCGCGGAAGACGGCGACGACGCGCAGGAGCAGGTCCATGCCGCCGGCGCGGGGCGTCGCCGGCAGCGTGTGGAGCACGCGCGCGGTGCCGATGGAAGCCTGGCGCGAGATCTTCTCCTTCGTCACCCGGATCGTCGACCGCTGGCCGTCCAGGCCGCCGCCGCCCTCGTCCTCCTCCACCGTGTGCATGATGGAATCCCGGAGCATGTGGCGCCGCCGCTTCTCCTTCGTGAGGCGCCGCATCTGCTGCCCGACATCCGGCCGCGGCGGCGGGATCGCCTGCTCCTCGGCGCGCGCCTGCGCGAGGTCGCGATCGGGGGCGCAAACCACGGGGTTTGAGGACCCGGGAGAACGCGCGACGGCGAGGCGGAGGGCCTCGATCTCGCGCTTGAGGGCCACGTTCTCGCCCTCGAGCTCCGCGACGCGCGACGCCGCGGCCGCGTCGGGCTTGCCGCGGCGGCACGTGACGTTGCGCGCGAGGTCCGGCGACCCGCCGGACGACGGCCTGCGGTTCGGGGGGCGCTCGGGGACGCGGGGTTTGCGGGGTTTGCGGGGCGCCGGTGCGCTGCGAGGTCCGCCGGAAGAAGGACGCCGCGTCCTGCACCGGGCTCCCGGCGCCGGGCGGCGACAGGAAGGGCCGCGCCGGCGACGCGGCCTGCGGCGACGCCTGCGCCTGCGCGCCCTGCTGCGGCGACGCCTGCTGCCGCGACCCGAAGAAGTTCGACATGGCCCGCGGGTCGCGCGGTCGCACTCCCAGACCTCGAGGTCCTTGGCTGCGATGAGCCCGCAGGTTTTTGGATGCATGCGCCAACGGACGGCGATCCATCGTCGCCCGCGTCCGAGTCGTCGAGGCGCCCCCCCCCCCAAAACCGCCGACCGCCACGCGCCTACTCAGGCGGCGAGGCGCTTCGACTGCGCCGGCGGCGGCGTCGCCGGCGGCGCGTCCGGCGGCGCGCGGCGGTCCGCGGCGAGCGCGAGCTTGTCGTCGAGGCTGTCCGCGGACGCGCAGCCCACCCACACAAAGGCGGCGACGACGTTGACGACGGCGATGAGCACGAACATGTGGACCCACCCCTTCCGCGTGCCGTCGAGGACGCGGCCGCCGACGAGGGGCGACAGCGCCGCGGAGAGCGTCGCGAGCGTGTTGGACGCGCCGGAGAACGCGCCCGCGTGCCGCGCGGTCTGGTCGATGTAGGTCGTCTTGAAGCCGCAGACGTGGGCCGACGACGCGATCTTGCAGAGCACGAGGAGCAGCGTCGCCGCCGCGGGCGTCCGCGCGGCCGTGAGGCCCAGCATGCAGAGCGCGAAGACCAGAAACGACACGCCCGACACCAACCGGCGCACGGACGTCTTCGCCTTGGGCCGTCGTAAAATCTCCGCGTCGACGAAGGGCGCGAAGGCGAACTTGCCCACCGTGTCGGCGATCTGGCCCAGGAGGAACTGCTGCCCCGCGGCGACGGCGCTGAGCCCGAGCTCGTCGACGTAGAAGCCGACGAGCGAGTTGTAGACGAAATAGCGGCCGAAGTTGAAGGCCGCGTGGGCGCAGATCGTCGCCCAGGCCGACGCGTAGGTGAACAAGGCCCAGGGGAAGCCGTCGCGCTTCACGCGCTTGCCCTTGGCGCCGAGGCCCTCGGGATGCTCCACCCCTAAACCGTAGCGCGCCAGGTAGTCGCGCTCCTTCGGCGACAGCCGCGCGCAGGCCTCGGGCCCCGACGACGCCAGCAGCGCCCAGAGCACGCAGATCAACGCGCTGCCGTAGCCCCAGAGCCGGAACGCCGCGCGCCAGCCCGCGTGCGTCGCGACGACGGGCGCGAGCGAGAACGTGACCATGGAGCCGAGCGAGGACCCCGTGTCCGCGATGGACATGGCCTTGGACCGCTCGTGCTCGGGGATCCAGCGCGCGAGCATGGAGCCCGTCGTCGGGAAGCTCGGGCCCTCGCAGACGCCCATGAGGAAGTAGCACGCCGCGAAGCCCGCCGGGCCCGCGGCGTCCATCAAACGCGGCGCCGCGAGCGTGCCCCCGGCCATGGCGACGATGGCGACGAGAATCAGCGCCTTGCCGCCGACGCGGTCGCTCGCGGCGCCGCCGGCGACCTGCGTCAGCATGTAGCCGCCGCTGAAGGCCGCGAGCACGCGGCTCTTCTCGTCGTTGGGCATGGCCACCTCGGCGACGATGAAGGGCAGCAGCGCCCCGAGCAGCACGCGGTTGCCCTGGCAGACGCTCCGCGCGAGGAACAGCAGCCAGCACATGAGCCACCGCTGCTCCATGGTCCGTGCGAGCACGCTCAGGCAGCAACCATCATCGTCCAAATTATTGTGCGTGTTGCGGGTGGTTCAAGGAGGTTCAATAATGCCGTTTCCTAAAACAAGAAGCGTGATGTTCCGTGCGTTTTTCAAGCGAAGTTGCAACGCGCCGCTGCGTGCGCGGCGCTTCGACGCCCATTGGGCTCCGCCGATGCGCGCGCGCCGCTGCAGCACGGCGCGGCGCTTTCAGCAGCGCTTCCCGAGCAGCACCACCACCGACCGTCCCTCGTCGCGCGGCCGGCACGCGCGGCGCTTCCGGAGCGGCGGCGACGCCCGGCGCCCCTACTTCATCCTCTGCCTCGACGGCGGCGGCGTGCGCGGCTACCTCAGTCTGAAGCTGATGGCGAAGCTCGAAGAGCTCGCGCCGGGCTTCCTCGACCGGGTCGACCTCTTCTGCGGCACGTCGACGGGCGCGATCGTCGCGAGCGGCCTCGCCAACGGCGAGTCGCTCGCGAACATGATCGCCTTCTACGAGGTCGTCGTGCCCAAGGTCTTCGGCAACCCGCGGAGCGTCGTGTCGCGCGCCTTCCGGTCCAAGTACGCGCAGGAGCCCCTCAAAGAGGCGCTCGTCGACTACTTCGGCGGCCAGACGCTGGGCCGCGTGCCGCGGAAGCTCCTCATGCCCGCGCTCAAGGTCGACGGCCTCGCGTCGGCCCACGTGTCGCCCGAGGTCTGGAGCCTGTCGAAGGCGCGCGCGGGCGGCTGGCGGCCCGCGGCGTTCACGAACCTGCCCGCGGTGCCCGGCGCGCGGCCCGACATCGAGCTCCGCGTCGTCGACGCGATTTTGCGGTCCGCGGCGGCGCCGACGGTGTTCCCCCTGCACCAGGGCTACGCCGACGGCGGCGTCTGGGCCAACAACCCGTCGTCGCTCGCCCTCGCCAAGGCCATGCTCCACGAGCGCCTCGGCACGGAGGACGTGCGCGTCCTCTCCGTCGGCACGGGCTCCTGGCCGCGCCGCGTCGTCGCGCCGGGCGCGCCGGGCGACCTCGGCGTCGCGCAGTGGTCGCCCTTCCTCCTCGAGATGCTCGTCGACGCGAGCTCGCTCACGGCGGACATGGCGACGGCGCACGTGCTCCGCGGCGCCTACTGCCGCCTGTCGCCCCACTTCGAGGACGCCGTCGCCCTCGACGACGCGGCCGCGCTGCCCAGGCTCGCCGCCCTCGCGGACCGGAGCGACGTAAACGGCGCCGCGACGTTCCTCGCGCGGCTCCTCGCGGGCGACGACGCGGACGCCGCGCGGCCCCGACCGCTCGGCCACGAGGCGCTCCTCGACGGCTCCGCGGGCTCGGACCTCGCGGCGTCCGCGCTCGAGGAGCTCGTCGACCTCGCGTGGATCGACGCCGTCGGCGCGCGCCGGCGGCCCCGCACGTCGGGGGCGGGGGGCGCCAGTTTCTAGAAAATGCATCTGTTGGACCTTCAATTGTTGACAGCTTGATGGGCATTCCCGCGGCCGCTACTCCAGCAGTATGGGCGGCGGCGCTAGCTCTGCCCAGCCGCCGCCGCCCATGACGGGGCCGCGGGTTCGACGGCTACAGGAATGAGATACAGGAATGGCAGGGAGACGTAAAAGTGACTTCAGGAACCCACGATTGGATTGCGCACCTCGCAATGGACGAGGAGGCGTCGCTCCTCGTCGGGGGCGAAAAGGCCCCGGCGCCGCAGACGGCCGCGCCGTCGTACCGGCGCTGGGTCGCGGGCGGCGCCGTCGCCGGCGCCGCGCTGCTCGGCGCCGGCGCCTACGTGTCGTCGCGCGGGGCTGCCCCGGCGTCCGCGGCCCTCGCGGCGACGGCGGCGGCGCTGCCCAAGGGCGCCGTCCCCGACTTCCTCACGGACCTGACGGCCGACGAGGTGTCGTACTGCAACTGCGAGACGGAGAGCGAGGACCTCACGACGGCGTGCTGCCAGGTCGAGGCCTGGGCGAGCCCCCTGGCGTGCTACGAGTACTGCGGCTGCGTCTGCACGGGCGAGGGCGAAGCCGCCGACTGGCTGCCCCTGACGCCGAGCGCGGCGCCGTCGACGGCCAAGCCGTCGCCGGCGCCGTCGTCCGTGCCCATCAGCAAGCCCACGGGCCTGCCGGTGCCCGCGCCGACGCCCCTGCCGTCCGCCGTGCCGATCAGCCAGCCCACGGGCGTGCCGATCCCGTCGCCCACGCCGGTGCCGTCGAGCGCGCCCGAGCCCAAGCCCACGGGCGTCCCGATCCCCGCGCCGAGCCCCCTGCCGTCGGGCGTGCCCGAGCCGGCGCCCACGAGCCAGCCCATGCCCATCCCGACGCGCGTGCCGATCCCCTTCCCGACGTCGGCGCCCATCCCGGTGCCGACGACGGTGCCGACGAGCGCGCCCGAACCGCGGCCGACGCACCATCCCGTGCCGGCGCCCACGGACATGCCCTACCCGCTCCCGACGACCAAGCCCACGGAGGTCCCGTCGCCGCGGCCCACCGACCACCCGACGAAGCTGCCGGAGCCCGCGCCCACGGCCGTGCCGACGCCGACGCCCACGGATCACCCGACGCCCGTGCCGACGCCGAGGCCCTCGCCCGCGCCGACGCCGACGCCGACGCCCGCGCCCACGCCCGTGCCGACGCCCCTCCCGACGGACGCGCCGACGCCGCTGCCGTCGCCCGCGCCGACGCCGACGCCGACGCCCGTCCCGACGCCCTTCCCGACGCCCCTGCCCGGCGACCCGTCTTCGGCGCCCGTCTTCGCGCCGACGCCGCGGCCGACGGCCGCGCCGAGCCCGAGACCGTCGGCCGCGCCGAGCGCCGCGCCGACGGCGGTCCTGCTCTACAAGATGTCGGACACGACGACGTCCTGGAACGAGTGCAAGGCCATCTGCACGGAGAACAAGATGATGATGCCCTGCATTAGCACGGAGTCGCGGAACGCGCTGCTCACCTCGCTGCTCGACGACGACGGCGTCGGCTCCGCGTTCATCGGCTACGAGTCGCCGTCGGACGAAGACTCGTCGGAGACGTCGACCTGGGAATGGAACTCCGGCTGCGTCAACGACGGCTACACGAACTGGAACACGGACGAGCCGAACGACTATGGCGACGGCGAGGACTGCGGCGAGATCTACGGGGGGGACCACGACGGCGTGTGGAACGACATCGGCTGCGACACGACCGGGCGCTCGCACTGCTACTGCCAGGACGCGACGTTCGTGAAGTTCTCCGACGGCGCGGACTGGGAGACGTGCAGGACCACGTGCGCGGAAGAGGGCTGGCAGATGCCCTGCGTCACGTCCGAGGCCCAGGACGACGCGCTCATGGGGATTTTGTCCGCCGACGGCAGCGCCCGCGCGTGGCTCGGCTACACGGCGCTCGCGTCCGACTCCACGGACCCGGCGAGCTGGGCGTGGAACGCGGGCTGCGACAGCCACTTCTCGGACTGGGGCACAGACGAGCCCAACGACTGGGGCGGCGTCGAGGACTGCGGCGAGATCATCGTCGACTACGGCTGGGACGGCTTGTGGAACGACGTGCCCTGCACGGGCTACAACTTCCCCTGCTACTGCGAGCCGAGCGACTTCGGAGTGCCGTCGCTGGAGCCGACGCCCGCGCCGTCGCCGCGGCCCACGCCGTCGCCGACGCCCGTCCCCACGCCCCGGCCGTCCGCGGAGCCGACGCCCGTCCCCACGCCCAAGCCCTCGACGGAGCCGACGACGTCGCCGACGCCGCGGCCGACGGGGCAGCCGAGCGAGAAGCCGATCCCCTCGCCGACGGCCGTGCCCAGCCAGGGCGGCTTCGGCGAGATCTATGAGATCAAGGGCTGGGACTTCGGCAACTGCGTCGACAGCGTCATGATCTACAAGAAGGACGGCGACGTGGACACCTACGGCGCGAGCTACTCGTCGACGCCCCAGGAGACGTTCAGCATCGACGTCAGGACCGAGTACATCTCGGGCTTCGCGCAGTACGCCAACTGCTACTACTACCTCGGCTCCGGGGTCTTCTTCCAGGTGCGGTCCCAGACGACCAACGAGGTCACGCAGGAGCTCGACCTCTCGGGCAGCCGCTACTCGGACTCGCTCACGCCCTCGTACTACGGGACCGTGACGTGGCCCTGCCAGATCACGGGCATCGACTTCTCCGCGGGCTACACGTCGGCGGAGGGCATCGCCATCGCGAACGGCGTCTACAGCTCATGCAACGTCGACGCCGTCTGCGACGACAGCCTCAAGTTCAACGAGCTCACGGCGATCGACTGGGGCGGCAGCTCGCAGAACGCGGACGACGACTACAGCTTCGCCAACGACGGCTGCAACCTCCAGTTCGCGGAGAACACGTGGAAGGCCTTCGAGCTCGAGGAGCCCCACACGGTCACGTCGTCGAGCTCGCTGAGCTTCTGCTTCACGCAGGTCAACGAGTGCGAGATCTACGCGATCGCGCCCGTCGAGACCGAGGCGGACCTCGGCTCCTACACCTACGTGACGAACTTCGTCGTCTCGGGCACGCAGAGCCTCTCGTCGAGCTACAGCTACTGGAACCTCGACTTCGACACCTACGAGTCGGGCACGGAGTGCTTCGAGATCAGCCTCGGCGACTACTACGACGCCGGCACGGAGTTCAAGTACCTCGCGTTCATGAACGACTGCGACTCGAACGACAGCAGCGACGGCACCTGGAGCGGCGTGCGCTGGGGCACCAGCGCGACGGACGACGACGACGACTTCGGCACGCGCCGGCAACTGAAGTCCGCGTGAGGCGCCGCGCGCCGCGGCGCCGCCCGAAGCCATTTCCCCCCAATTTAGCGGCTGATTAAATAATGTATGTTTTACGGAGCAAGCTGGCACGTAAAGACCACCACCCCCGGCGGGGATAACTAGCTTACCTTCGTCCAGCTAGCATCCCCACCTCTCTCTTCGAAGGAGAGAGAGGCATGGTCTTTACTTGCCAGCATCGCACATGTGTCGCGAAAGATCGCGACGGGGGACAGGGGGGGGGGGGGGGGCTACCACTTGGCGTCGGCGCGCGCGTCGCGCTTGGAGCCCTCGACGAACTCGACGAACTCGCGGTAGGAGATGCGGCCGTCGCCGTTGGCGTCGAAGAGGTTGACGAGCTGGCGGAGCTCCGCGGACGAGAGCCGGAGGCCCAGATTTTTCATGGCCTTGCCGAACTCGCGCGCGTCGATGGCGCCGGAGCCGTCGCTGTCGATCTCGCGGAAGGCGCCGCGGTAGTCCGGCGGCGCGCGGCGGCGCGCGGCGAGGCGGTCGATCTCGTCCTTGACGCGCGCCGCGATGCGCGCCGTCGCCGGGTCGCGCTTGAGCGCGAACTTGACGAAGTCGTCGTAGGGGATCTCGCCGCGCGGGCCCGCGCCGAAGAACTCCATGACGTCGATGAGCTCGCTGCGGCTCATGCGCACGCCCAAACGCTCGAGCGTCGCGCGGATCTCGCCGCGGTCGAGCGTGCCGGAGCCGTCCGCGTCCATGTCGCGGAAGACGCCCCCGAGGTCCAGGTCGCCGCCCCGCGTCCGCGCGCAGCGCTCGATCTCCTCGGCGAGGCGCCGCACGGCGTAGGTCGCCGTGCGGTCGCCGTGCGCGTCCTTGGCCTCGTGCGTCGCCGGCGCGGCGCCCTTCAACGCGGACACGAAGTCGCGGTAGCGCACGCGGGGGTTGCGGCTCCGCAGGTTGCGGTCGGACCGCGGGCCCCGCGTGCAGGGGAAGCGCCGCGTGACCTCGTCGGCCTCCGCGACCGTCAAGGTGATGCCGAACTTGCGGAGGCCCGCGTGGAACTCGTCCGCGTCGACGTCGCCGCTGTAGTCCTCGTCGAACTCCTCGAAGACCTGCTGGATCGCCGCGTAGGTGTGCTTCGGCGACCGGTCGACGATCTCCCGCAGCCGGTCGAGCACGTCCTGCACGCCCGCGTCCTTCATCTCGTTGCTCTCGACGAACGACTCGAACTCCAGATAGCTAATCTCGCCGTCGCCGTCGAGGTCGCAGTGCCGGATGACGTCCCGGATCTCGTCGTCGTCGAGGGCGAGGCCCAGGTCCTTGAGGCCCCGCCGGAACTCGATGGCCGTGATGCGCCGGTCGCCGTTGCGGTCGAGCTCGTCGAAGAGCCGCCGCAGACTCACGTCCTTGGCCTCGGCGCGCAACAGCTTCCGCAGCTTCCGCACGAGGAACGTCACGTCGTCGTCGTCGTACTTGCTCTCCGCGACGTCCGGCGTCTCGTAACGACCCCGCGGCATACTCCAGATCGGGGCAGCTAAACAGGCGCGGGATAAGAGCGTCTTTTGAAAGTTCAAGCTAGCGCGCTGGAAAAAAGGCCGGCATGGGGTCAGTCTACGTTTAGAGTCTCATTCTGGCATGGGGTCAGTCCCTCGCAGGAGCCGCGCCGCCGCGGTCGTCGCGGCCCTCGCCGTCGCCGGCGGCCAGCGGCTCGAGGCCGACGCCTCCGTGCGCGTCACCGTCGACGGCGTCGCCCACGACGTCGGCGCGCGCCTCGACGAGGAGCCGGCGGCCGTCGCGCGGGCCTTCTGCGGCGACCGGGGCCTCGTCGGCGCGGCCTGCGTCGACGGCGTCGCGGGCGCCCTCGCGGAGCGGCAGGCCGAGCTGCGTCGCGCGCGCGGCGCCGCGCCGCCGCCGCGGCCCG